AAGTGTTACCTAAGGCAGTTACCTAGAAGACCCCTACTATCTTTAGGGAAAAGCCAAAGGGAGTATAATTGACTTTGCTAATTTTACCATTGGTAATAATAAAACAGTTCTGAATTTCATCCAACAGCAGAAACCCTTTAGCTCACAGTTTGCCCCTGGAAGGGCACAGAGAAATGTACCATATAGACTGTATACAAACCCACTAGCAGAAGAAAGCACAAAACTGGCAGAATGAATAAGCCATAAAATATTAAACTGCTGCAAACATGCCAACTTTAATCATCAAGTTAAATATATACCCTTAAAAAAAAACCAAGCAGGCTGTCGCTGTGAAGACCAGTGACATATTATAACCAAGCAGGCTGTCGCTGTGAAGACCCGTGACATGTTATAAACAGAAACTCCGTTTCGTGTCCTGCCCGGTCCCTCACTATTGCAGTGTCTGTTTATTTTGCCTTTGTTAATAATTTTTTCTTATAAAAGGAAATTAAATAGTCTAACTATATATACCAAGATAATAATCATTTTTAGTGGTAAATCTAGTTTAATAAAATAGGCCCTCTGCTATGAAATATTCATGTTCCTTTAAATACTATTGTGAGGAAAACAGAACCAAGCACTTAACTGAAGGGGCTGGCTCTGAATACAGGGAGGCGTTGTCAGAGAGCACTGGACTTCACACACTTACTTCTCCTACTGTCTCTGCAGTTCACACTACTGTCACACAATGTGGACTTCAACTGTCATGTCTACATCTAGAGATCAATCGTGGACCTCTGGACATGACATTCTCGTCTCACAGAAAATGACCTGGTGGCACATCTTCCGGAACCGAGCCTGTAGAACCTTCAGGACCCTTTCAAGAACAAGGTGAAGATCCATGGTTGGAGTGAACGGGAGGGATGCACAGGATGAAGGCTTAAGTTTAGCAGAACCGTCAAACTCAGAGAGAGACACAGAATTGTCTAAAAAGGGATTTTCTGCTGCAGGGGCTGGACACAATGCAATGTCATGGAGCACTGTGTGCAGAGGCTGTGGAGGCACCGGCTCCCATAGGGAAGGGGGCCAGGCCATTCCTATTTCTCAGGCACTGCTGTCAAACATGCTGAGGGTTCTTTTTATTTTTTCCTGGTCTTCTCTTTGTGAGTCAAGCAGTGCTGCTGAAATCCGGTGCCTAATGGAACAGATGGTGGAGGTCTTAGGTTCTGGAAAATGTGTAGTGATGTCTTTGAATGCTAAACACCATGAGCAGATTTCACAGGCTGTGGATCTGACTTGATTTTGATGGTAATAAAACCTCCATTTTTACTGAATTTGAACCACAGTGAAAGAAAGAATGTGTAACTGACACAAGCTAGTTAAGGAAAGAGAATGCTTTGGCTATTATCCCCACAATGGGAAGCAGCTCAGACATCCGCTGCTTCACTCTGGCATGACTGTACTTTCACATAAGCCACCGCTCCACTTCCCTGGGTACACCCAGTACTGCAGAACAGTCCCAGGGAATTCACCTGACAATGAAGGGGAAACAAAGGAAACCTCTCTGAAAGCAACCAGCCTTGGTGGCTTTTCCAAGGTAAGACCATGTTGAGGCTAACTCCCCAAATACAGAACTAGGTACATGTAAGTAACAGATCTAGAGTATTTCCTCCTCTTGGGTATTTGGGTCTATTCCATAGAGGCCACTGTTTATGCCTACAGGTTATCATGTGCAGCCCAATGAACCCACAGATCTCTACAAACTTTTACCTTTGGAGGCTTTCCCTTCTCTAAGTAAGGTCCGTGCTTTTCATAGACCACAGAAGGGCTGGCAGAAAGGGAAGACAGACCATAGGGCCAGTGACTCCCAGGGACAATTAAAGAGATTCGCTCTTGCCTTCACATGTGGATTCCAGTGATAAAATTAGTGAGACCCAACAGCTGTATGACGCAGATAGAGGAGAGAGGAGTCTGAGATCAGGCAAGCTAGCAAGCAAGCAGGTTAGCCCAACTAGACGGACGTCTGAGGCTCCTACTCTGTTTCATGAAAGTCATTTCTGTTCCCCACACGGGTAGAAGAGAAACGTTCAGCATTATCACACTATTTTCTCTTTTAAAAGCAGTGGCTCTAACTTGTGGTAGCTTGACTATGCTTGGCTCCGGAAGTGGCACTCTTAGGAGATGTGGTAAGTGTGGCCTTATTGGAGGATGTGTGTCACTGTGGGACTTGGCTTTGAGGTCTTACGCTTATGCTCCTTTCAGAGTGGAAGAGACCCTTCTAGCTGCCTGCAGTAGACAGTCTCCTGCTCCGGCCTTTGGATCATGATATAGAACTCTCAGCATCTCCAGCACCATGTCTGCCTGGATGCTGCCATGCGTCCTGCCATGATGATAATGGACTGAACCTCTGAACCTGTAAGCAGCCCCAATTAAATGTTGTCCTTATAAGAGTTGCCTTGGTCATGGTGTCTGCTCACAGCAGTAAAACCCTAACTAAGACAATATTCATCTACATTAAGAACTTTAAAAATACTGATTATCTGAATACTAAAATATAAGAAGTATATACTTATATAAAGTATGAGGAGACTGGAGAGATAGCTCAGCAGTTAGGAACACTGGCTGCTCTTCCAGAGGACCTGGGTTCAGTTCCCAGCACCTACATGATGACTCACTGCCGGGAGCCAAACCCAGGAAATTATCTGCTGTTCTGGATAGCCTAGTCAATACAAGGTTAAGAAAGGACTTTCGTTTGCCGGTCTCAGGTCCCAGGAACTTAAAGAACGTCTGGCATTTCCTGGGAGCCAGTTACGACAGTGGGATGGTCTTGGGCAATAAGGATACAAGAGTGGGATGGTCTTAGACAATAAGGATATAGTGGGATAGCCCTAAGCAATGACCCTCGCCTAAACTTCCGGCTTTGCTGTGTCTTTATAACCTGCCCCCGAAATTAAAGTTTCAGAGCTTGATCAGAACTCCATCCAGACTAGCTCTCATTCCTTGTGTCTCTTGTCCCTTCATTCTTTCGCCCCCTTCCCTAGGGTCTCGCTGAATCCCCAGCCTGGGCAATTCACAACCATCTGTAACTGCAGGTTTCAGGGGATCTGACATTCTCTTTGGCTTCCACAGGCATCTGAACACAGGCCCTAGCTGCCTGCAGAAGACAGTCTCCTGCTGCTGACTTTGTATCAAGATGTAGAAGTCTCAGCTCTTCCAGCACCACGTCTGCCTGACGCTGCCAAGCTTACGCACATAAATAAACTCACTTAGGCCACTCACCCTCACCCCCATGAAGTAGATTACTTACTTGCTTACTTATTTATGTAACTATTTACTTTTGAGGCAGGCTCTGGCTGGCCTGAACTCTGTTCTGTAGACCAAGCTGTTCTCCAACTCATAGAGATCTGCTTGCTCTGCCTCTCAGGTGCTGAGATTAAAGGTGTCTGCCATCACACCCAAGTTACAATAACGACTCTTCGTTTTGTTTTGTTTTGGTGACAGGGTTTCTCTTTATAGCCCGGACTGTCCTGGAACTAACTCTGTAGACCAGGCTGGCCTCGAACTCAGAAATCCGCCTGCCTCTGCCTCCCGAGTGCTGGGATTAAAGGCGTGCGCCACCACCGCCCGGCAATAATGACTCTTGATGCATGTTTACGTAGTTTAGTTTGTTTTTCAGCCGTATCTAATATTGCATTACTGATATTTTTGTTCTGTCTGCACTCCCCACTCCCCCCCCACTCCCTTCCTCTTTCTGCTGCCTCTTTCTTTCCTCCTACCACACCCATCTCTTCGCCAGTAGTGACCACAGATGCCAGGAAAGGGCACTGGATTGCCTGGAGCTGAAGTTACAGCCTGCTGTTAGCTGCCACATGGAAGCTGGGTATTGAACCTGGGTCCTTTGGCAGAGCAGCCAGTGCTCTTAACCTCTGAGCCAACTCTCCAGTCCTCTAACTCCCTAAAGAATACATTTTTAAGGCTGGGTATTGGTGAGATGTGACTGTGCTGTCATCATTTCAGAAGCTGAGGAAAGATCATCACAGGTTTAAGCCCATGAGCACACAGAGGCCCTTCACTGAGCCTGGAGATAGGCCAGTGGCCAGAAAACTCCCATAATCCTCTGCCTTTGCACACTTGGGAGTCTGAGTCCGGAGAATCACTACACATCTGAGGTCACACAGTGAAATTTTGTCTCAAATAAACAAAAGTATAACAAAGACTATCTACACTCACAAAGCAGTGACATGATTAACATTCTGATGTATTTCCTTGTAGTTTGTTGTTGTTCATTCATTCCTTTATATTTGGGGGTTCTTTTTGTAACATAGGTGAGAACTTTCTTAATACGTGTAAGTTAGCTTTTAATCTTATTTTTTCGAGCACATGTTTTTTTTCATAGAAGGTTTATGCCTATATAGCACACATTTAGATACACCAGTTAGCCCCTTCATTATTGACAGTTAATCTGCTAACTTTTTACTGTTACAAATAAATCTATATACCACACATCCATTTTCCCATTCCAGAATATATTATTCAGATAAATATTTTAAAATAGTTCAAAGGCTTTGAGCATTTCTAGTTGCCCCTCCCCCCACTGCCTCCCCTGTCTCTCTTTTCCTTCCTACCATCCTTGTACATGGCAGGCCAGTGTTCTACATCCTCATTTTGGATTTATATCTGGATTTTTATTTTGGGGTTACTCTAGAGATCTGAACTTGTGATAATCCTCCTACCTCATCCTCTTGAGTATGTGTGTTTGTGTGTTTGTTTGTTTTTTCTTTTTTGAGGCCCAGGCTGGCCTTGAACTTATGATCAGCCTGCTTCTGTCTCAGAATGTGTGCCACCACACGTGCTCTTCAAAGTGTTTCCTAGCATTAGTCTTTTACTTCATGTTGACACTGCCAAGATCGCCATCATCAGTATCAGTGAGCATCCGCTTGGAGGAGCTGAACAGCAGGCCACACAGAGCTGACAAGACACCTGAGGCCATGCAGGCACAAGTGAGCCCCCTCTGTTTTTACCTTGGTGTTCTGTAGAAGAGCTAGTCCATTGCAGGCATTTGCTAGAAGGAAGTCTCCACTCAGGATAGCTATTTTGTTTCCAAACTGCATGTCTTTCAGTGGTCCATCAGCTGACTGCAATTCATTCAAGTTTACTATCCCACGATGCACCAGGAGAGCAGTATGGATAAGTTCCGTGATCTCTGCCAAACTTCTTTGACTGAAACATAAAGAAAAGGTTTGTCTTAATGTCAAGACTGCATCACTCCATCACTCTATGACCAGTGGCAGGCTCGGGTCTCAAACATTAAACCATGCACACGTCACTTTGGAGGAAGAGGGGTTCATTTTCTAATAAAGTCTTTCGAGGTCTTTCTGTTGACTGACTAGTCTGGGAGTTCTCTGTAGTCCTCCTTACTCTGCCCTCAGAGAAATGGTGGCCAGGAGCGCCACCCTCCTAGTTTCATTGAGATGTCTTGCTTTCAATGCACAGTTCTTCCTCACCTAACACTAAGATTTCTAGGGCCCATCAGTTCCAGCACCTGGTTAACTGTAAATTCGATGGATGTAAGGCAGGAGCTAAGTACTTCACGTTCATTATCTCTTTTACTCCTAAATATAAAGCTGGGGGTGGGGGTCAGAAACATGGTCTCTATCTTCAAGGACATGTCTTCTAGACTAAGAAGGACATATATGCCTTGAGCAGAAAATAAGACAGAAAGGCCTCACAGCTCAGGACTGTATTCCATGAGAGAAGTCAGGGAATGCCTGTTTCCCTTTTATATATTTTCCTACCTTTGCACATTTTGTATGAGAATAAAAGTAATATTTTTATAATCAAACAAAACTTTCCAAGTATATTGATCCAGAATAAAATCTGATGGAATATAATGTATGTGACAGGTAGAACAATCAAAACAAACAGCTGGGAGCACGGTGGCTCAGGGTGGCTCATGCTTCCCCAGCCGGCACCAGGAGGCCGAGCAGGAGCACAGTGCCTCATGCTTACCGAGTTCACACCAGGAGGCTGAGCACATAGGACTGCCATGAGTTACAAAGTGAGTTCCAGGCCAGTTTCGGTTACAGGGGAGACTCTGTTTTAAACCACCATAACAGAAATGACCCTCCCCACATTAAACCAAAGCAAGCAGTCACTGAGACTTTAAGCCTCCCCTCAACCCTGTATCACTTTATGACCCTACAATGGAGTTAATCCTCACTCAACTCACACAACTCAAGGGCACAGTACTGTGGAGCTGGGACTCTGTTGGACTCTTAACTACTCTAGACGACTCCAGTGAATACAATGTGGTTTGCAGGCCCCTACTTCATCCTTCCATATCAGCTCTGGGCTTGGCTATGCTACTTGCTTCCCCAGTAGGACATCAATAAAGAATTTGAAAGCAAAGTTTAAAGAAAGCTCACAAAACACAAGCTTAGGCTGGTTTAGAGAGTTGCATGATCCTAGGCTGACGGGCCTTTCAGTTAATTCAGACAGGTAAAAAATAACTTATGCTGTCAAGTCACCAAAATGTCTAATGGTTTGGTATGAAATAATAGCTGTTTGATAAGAAAATTAAATACTCAGGCATAATATTGCTATAACAAAAGGCTAGACTGAGTCTGTGCTTTGAGCCTGAACAACGTAGGGGGTTCAAAATGGTTCCTTCTTAGCATAACTGGTCATCTGCAAATAGTGTGTCGGTAGGTGTGTCACGGCAGTCCATCTGTCTTCATGTTGGCAGAAGCCTTTTCTATGGGGTCTTCACAGGGGCCTGGGCACCTTTGGGACCCTGGGCTGGAGCTGCAGCCTGGACCTTAGCTGGAGCTTTGGCCTCTGCCTTGGTTTGAACCTTGGGCTTTGGTTGGCAGAGCCTACGACCCTTGGCCATGTAGCTTTGAATCCGCTTGAGGTGAGCGATGAAAGCCAGGCGTCTGAGTTTGCGGCTGGGGCCCTTTGGCATCTTGGGCTTGATGGCCTGAGGCTTCACAAGGGCCTTGATGGCCTCTGCGTGTGCATTCACTGCCTTTGCATTGTTGGCCTGCATCTTCTTCAGGCCTTTCTTGTTGTGCTTCTTGGCAAAGCGCATGTTCCTCAAGAACTTGGGGTCAACCCCCTTAAGAGACTCGTATCTTTGTGACCAGGGTTTCTTGATGCCATTTCTGTGCCATTTACGGGACTGGTTGTGTGTGGTGTGGTTCTTGGACTTGGCCATGTCTGCACAGTAACCCGCGGCTTCCCAATAAATTATATTAATAAACTTAGCTAGACAAGGAAATTTCAGGCAGATTCTGAGAGCATCAGCTAGCTTTCGATATATAATATACAGTTTATGTAGATACATATACAATACAAGAGAGAGAGAAATTAAAGGGAGTTGTTCAGTTTGCAAGCAATAGAGCACAATAAAAGAGTGAAGACTTGGTAAGCTGAAAATGAAACCATTTCATACATTCATAAAAAAAATTCCCAAAGAAAGAAATAGTATTAAAAAAAAGAATAATTCAAAAATGTGGACTGATTGCTGGGCAGTGGTGGCACACACCTTTAGTGCCAGTACTTGGGGCAAAAGCAGACAGATCTCTATGAATTCAAGGCTAGTCTGGTCTACAGAGCAAGTTCCAGGACAGCCAGGGCTACAAAAATTGAAACCCTGTCTGAAAGAAAGAAAGAAAGAAAGAAAGAAAGAAAGAAAGAAAGAAAGAACAACAAAAAACAAACAAAAATAGTGGGCTGACAAGATGGCTCGGCAGGTAAGGCTTGAGTTTGATTCCCATGTGAAGGTAAAAGGAGAGAACATGTTCCCTAAAAGTTGTCTGCTGACCTCCACATGCACACTGTGGCTTGCTTGTAATGTTGATAACAGCAACAACAATAATAACAACAGTAGTAATAGGTGTGGGCTGTATACTGCGAGGCAGTATAGACTTGTAATCCTAGAATCAGGAAGGTGCAGGCTGAGACCTCAGCACCACAGTGACTGTGAGATTAGTGGGGGTCACAAGAGACTCTGTCTTTAAAAAACATCTTAACATTGCACTTGGTGATGGGGAGACCTCTCATTCACACACACAAGTTCTGTGAGTTTTAAGGGAATAACTTCATAGCAGCTTCACTCTCAGTTCAAAGTCCAGAGGTTTGCTTGTAAAGACCCAGAGATGAGGCTTTTATAACATGAAGTCACAGAACTCTCCAGCAGGTTTAAGGAAGTTGTAGAGTTTGGGCTAAAGGAGCTTCTGAACACCCAGCCTTGTGTGTTCAAACAGCAGACAAAATCAGGGCAATTCTCAACCTTCGTCAGAGAAGCACGTGCGGAGCGATGGGATGCCGCCATCACAGCCTTCTCTTCAAGGCTCAGAGGTCCACAGGAAAGAGGAGACAGAAAGATGACAAGAGCTAGCGGTTAGCGGTGGTGGGTGACTCCAAGAAAACAGCTTCCTCCAGAGACAAGAGGATGCTACACATGAGCTCAGAGACTGGGACGGCGCACAAGACTGGCACAGGCTCCAGCACACGGGGTCCCAGTGCTGAAAAGGGGAAGTGGACCAGGGGTCCAACCCAAGCCAAGCGGTTATTTTCAGTTGATATCTGCTGAGAAAGGTAAATTATGATGTTTTCTTGTTATTGCTATTAGGAAGCAGTGCAAGCCACATCATGGATGTCACAGTTAGGACAACCCTCAATACGCTCTCTCCTTTCACCTCTGCACACCTTTCTCAGCAAGTGCCCACCAGAGCACAGCTAGGTGGATCAGCTGCTCTCCAGGGCAGGCCCCACGAGCAGCTCACCAACACAGCACGCTCTGTGCTTGGTTTTGGCATCTTTTGTCCTACTGACTTTCCTTTCTTAGTTTGTCTGTTTTGACTTTCATATTTTGTTGTTTTTCTTTTTCCTTTTTTAAGAGAGAAAGGAAAGTTGTGTGTGGAAGAATATGATCAAATATATTATAAAAAAAACTAAATAAAACTGAACAACAAACAGTAGACCATTGCGTGAACCAACCAATTCTCACAAAGGAGGGCAGCAGCTCAGAGGGCAGAGCAAGTGTCACAGAGAATGGCCAACCAGGCAGCTGCTCATAGGCACTAGGACTGGGCTAAGCAAGCATTCCTTGCTTGCAGAACAGGTAGTTCTGATGCCCAGCTGGATTTCAGACTCGCTAAGGACCAGTGAGATTGCTCTCTCCTAAGAGACAACACGCTTACTGTAGTTATCCAGGCTGCCCCGAAGCCCTGGGCCTCCAGCAGCGCTGCTCTACCCGCTGCTCTACCCGCCCAGCTGTCTTGCTTTCCTCTCAGAAAATATTTTTAAGAAGTGGAGCTGAGAGATATAAAACCATCTTCTAAAACAGGTGACTAAAGAAAGGATTAAAATTTTATGATGGGGCTGGAAACACAGTTCGGAGGTCAAGAGTGCTTTCTGCTCTTCCACAGGGCCAGGTGCAGCTGCAGCTGACAAATGAGGAGAAGCTGACACCCTCTTCTGGACGCTGGGAGCAGTCCTATATACATGGCATACACTTGCATAGACAAACATATAAGTAAAAATAAATCTTAAAAAATGTGCTGCTATCTTGCAAATACTTTCTATTTTTATGAAGCCATTCCCTAAAAAGAGAAAGAAAAAACAAACCCAAACAAAATCAGGGATGGGTAAGATCTGTAAGGAGCTAAGAGGATGGAGGGGAGTGGATCAAAATACATTGCATACATATATGAAACAATCAAAATTAATAAATCCAGGCTTGATGGCACATACCTTTAACCCCAGCATTTGGGAGGTAGAGACAAACAGATCTCTGTGAACTCAAGGCCAGTCTGGTTTACAAAGCAAGTATTTATGTAGCCAGGGAGACAGACAGGCCCTATCTGAAAAAAACACCAAAAGAATTAATAGAAGAATTTTTAAAATTTATATTGTCCCATTTGACAAAAATTGCACCATGAAATTATGAAAAAGCATAGAAGTCAGAAGGCTTAAGCATTTAGGTTAGGTCTCTTAGGCAGTTTAACTCAAGAAAGAAAGTAATAGCCCAGCAAGCAAAAGGCTGTAGGTGTTTTTAATTACCACAAGGATGCAAATGAGTAACTATGAGCTTTTAATAAAGACATCTATAATAATAAACAGCTTTCACTAAATAAATAAGCACCTTTAAATGCTGCCTCATCAGAAACAGCATGAACAGTGGTAGTAATAAGTAGCTGAAAATCTCCATGTGT